ACACCTAAAACCCTCCAGATAAGGGTGACAAGAGTGAAACAACTGCCCTAGGTCTCATTTGCATCCGAGATGGAACCAGATGACCATTCATTTACATGAGAGATGGAGAACAGAAAGCCCAAAGCAGAGACCATAGTGAATTCTGGGATCAGAGAAGCAGGGGAGCACTGCATGATGGGGAATCTGTGCTCCAAATGCTAATCAACTCACACACCCAGCTCAGCATTTATCAGACCAGTTCTAATCTGGATTTACAAAGAATTACCAAGACCCTAGAAAAGTATCCCAAATAAATGAGCACACCCCGAAGTAATGGGCAAATCTGGTAACACCTGCCATCACCTGGCAATCAAACTGGCAGTGTCTGGGTGCTGGGAATAGATCAGCCTAATGTGTGTTGTCCACACCTGCTAGTATACTCTAGGGCATACAGAGTCTCAGCCCAGAGGCTGTTCTGGTTGCATCTTCCTGGAGTTGGATAGAAGTTAATTCCTGGAGATTTCAGCTGCCTTTGCTACCCATGATTATGGAATTTGGGGACATCTCTGTGGTCCTGAACTGGGGCAGATAGTCATACATGGCTAGCTTGGTGACTGCAAAAATAGCTGCACAGTGACACTGCTCACCAGAGGTTCTCTAAGGCAACTGGTCACTCTGTATCTATGAAGGCCTACAGCCGGGTAGAGACATAGCTTGGGCAGTGGTGCCCTTGGTGCTGATGGCATACACAAGTCCATTTCATGGATGAGACTGGAGATATCCAATTGCCTCTCAACCCAAATTATATCAGCACCCTTCTCTGAAGGCATGGCTAGCCCATGCATGGTTCCACAGGCTCACAAGCTCAAAGCCCAGGCAAGGTGTACAAGTCTGCTTTCTCTCCCATATCTCAGGCAGGAAATGTGCACCTTGTCTGAGACAGGTCTTTGTCACCCTCTGCCTAGGGCAGCCCAACCCAAGGGAAACCTTAGAGTCACTCACGAACACACCCAAGTGCAAGCAGTAGCTGCCTTGTTTCCCTGTAGAAATGGATGCTTTTAACCCCACATCACCCTCAATAGCTTGGCCTTGGGTACCTGACAGGCTGAGACTGGCAGAGGCTCTTAGCACTTCGCTTCACAAGGATGTGACATTTCCTATATGGAGACCTCAATTTCAGGATTCTCCAGCTCTCTGCCCTCACCCATTCTCCCAGGCTAGTCTGGGTGGGATGAACTGGTGGTCCCATTAGCTGTGAGCCCTTGAGTAGCTGTATTGGCTCAGGCTGACATTCAGCAGGCTGCAGTCTGGCTGGGAGGATGTACTGCACTGTATGAAGCCCCTTTCCTTGTGATGGTAATAGCTGTGCAGGTGCCTGGAGCATAGTGAGGCCCTGCTAATTAATTCAAACTGATCAATAACATTTAGCTTTCAAAACCTATTAATATGTTCACTGCTGGAGCTCCAAGAGGCTTTATCTGAGACCACAGCCCTACAGTGCCAGGCTGTGTGGACACAACAGGAGAGCTGCTTTTGCTCCAGAGAGCTCACGTTCCAAATCAGGGAGGGCATAGAGGAGAGGGAACTTCCCAAGGTCACCCCGCAGGTCAGTGGTGGGGCTGAGGAAGAAACCAAGCTGATCTCTGGATGCCCATGCCAGGGACCCTATCCTCTGGGCCCTGAAAAATTTGCTCATTGCTTTCCAAATAGCATCCCAAGGTCAGCCTGACCCTTTCATTCTGCTTTAATCTGCTAGCCCACGAGTACAGCAGCTCCAGATGTTCAGCAGCCAGCTTATCCTTAGCTCCAGTTCCCTGGCAGGGGATGGCTGCAGCCTACTTAGTCCTGCTTAGACGCAGCTTCACATTGCCTCTGGACTGGAAGTGGTATCATCCTCAGGGAGCTCTGCTGGCCTTTCTTGCTCAGCTGCTGGCTAAGCCCTCCTGAACCCTTTTCCCACGCTGAGCCCAGCCCTCTTGCTCTCTAGCACAATTGTGGCTCTGGAGTGCAGGAGCCAGACCTCTGCTAAGGACCTTTCCAATGGGAACCCTCCAGACAGAGGCCCTGGGGGCTGATTTGTGCTGGGAACAGTCCCACAGAAAAGCTGATCCAGGATAAAACAGGAGAGGGGAAAGGGAAGTGCATGGCTTGCGAACCTCAGAGCCAGGCAGGACAGCCCAGGGCTCCTCTAGCTTCAGTGTAACCTGGAGGCATCCAGACTCCGAAGGATACAAAAGGCCCTTCCTTCTGCTTGGCTTCTTTTCACTGGAAATTGCGGGGCTGGAGGGGGTTAGACATTTTTCCTGCTGCTTTAAGCAATGACTACCCAGGCTCAGCCCCACTAAAGATGACAGAAGGAGGCTGGTGACTCCTGTCCTCTCTGCTTTAAATCCCTCTGCGCTGCCTTTGGGACGTGTTGCCTGAGGAGGACAGGGATGCAGACTGTCAAAACCTGAGAAATATGGTGCAATGCTGCCATCTCCTGGACAGTGCGCCCAACAGACAGCAGGACAACGCTATCAGATCCTCTGATAGAATCATAGAAAATTCGGGTTGGAAGGAATCTCAGGAGGTCGTCTAGTCCAACCCCTGCTTGGAGCAGGACCTTGATACCAGACACCTTGTGCAGAGGAAATGGAAATCTGCAGTGTGTGTAACACACAAGGCAAATGGAGAGTCAACTGCAGGAATCAGGGACCTGGTCTCACCCATGCTGGATGCCAGCCACCAAATCATAGTGTGAGAGCTGAGGATGCTAGACACTTGTCAGGAGGCATTCAGCCCCTCTCAGGACAGGCTGCTTGTCAGCTGGGGTCCTGAGTGCTAGGCCCTGCGTACTCCGGCCGAGGAGTGTTAGAGCACAGCTCTAACAGGGTTTCCTAGCCCTGGAGTAGGTGGGGCTTCTCCTTGCCAGATGATAGACATGACACAAAGCCCAACATGGGTCTGAAGATGTCTGCTGTGGACATTTACCCCTTGCCACTGAAGCAGTGTTACCAGCTGAGGGATCACTGTTTTGGCCCAAGTGGTAGAAGCTCATCCTCCTAGTGATGGCTTCAAGTTTGAACTCTGCTGATGGTGCCAGTGAGAGTGGGAAGGGGGTATTGGTATGTACACACCTAGACTGTACACAGCACACATACTCATCTCTGTTCCAGGCACAGCTGTGGCAGTCCCCTCCTAGCCCCATGGCCCTGGCCTGCCCCCTTTACTTCCACCTGGCTGTGATCCAGTCTACCCACACCCAGCTGACCTCTCTGCCTGTCATGCTCATCAGCTCATGTTGTCCTTAATTCCCAGCTGTGAAGCAAAACTTGAACGGGGACATGCCCCCCACCTCCACCTTCCAAATCAAAATGGACCCCGACACAAATCCAACGGCTGTCTCTGGGCATGTGTTCATTGCTTTTACTGGGCTCTGCACTGAGCGGGTAGCAGAGAGTGAGAATTTTTGTATGAAGTGAGAGCTGCCAGACTTTGAACTAGGCTAAACTTAGGTTAGTGCTCCATTTCTAGGGTCACTTGAGATTATATTAAACTCAAGAGTTTCCCTACCATTGTAGTGGCCCAGACATCAGTGGTATCCTTGTCTCCCCTGCCCCTCTTCCTGGCCTGGTATAGTTTTTTTCCTCATAGGATGCTGTGTGACTGTGGTATGTGAGAAGGGTCAGACTGGATGCTCTTGCGCATTTCTTGGGAAAATGGGTTCCTGCAAATGCAGGGGCTGGACTGAGTGGCCTGGGAGACCTCCTATCCCATATGGCTGCATTCCTGCACACTACCCAGTGTCAGTGAGTTCACCCACAGCATGGGTTGCTGTCCCACTTAAGGAGGTTTGCAGATTCCCTGTGCCCCAGTCTACCCATGGATAAGTACCCCTTGTTAGCACTGCCTGTTTCCATTCAGCCTCTTCAGTGCCACCCTCCCATCCCCACCACAGAGCTGCAAACCCCTCCATTTGACCTGCCCTAGCTTTGGAGGGGCCATAACCACAAGAAATCTTGTCCCTGCCATGCACAGCGAACATACTCGGCAGCCTTTCTTGCTAATTACCATTCTCCTTTCCTCAGAAACACAGGTTAATGAGCAACAAATGTGACAAAAGTCTCCAGCACAGGAGGTTTTGTGGGTTTTGTCAATTCTGGACAGTTGAGAGACCTGCATACACTTTAAACAAGCTTTTAACCCTGCAGATTCCTACCCTGATCCCCTCTGCTCTTCACTGCCACAGAGCACCCTATGAAAAACTTCCAGTGTGTGCAGGTAAAGTGCATGAGGGGCTGGTAAAAAAAATAATTTTGTAGATCCTTTTGGACAATTGGTTGCCTGCAAACACAGGAGATTAAACTTAATGACCCAAGAAGCCCCTTCAAATCATATATTCCTCTAGTCTAACAAGTACTATATGCTGAGAGCTGACCATACCAGCTCTCCTCAGAGCACCTTTCCCCTGCCAGAAGGCCCCAGGTCCAACACAGAGGTCCCCTCCCAACAGGGAGATCAGTTCCTGTGACCTGGATGCTCAGTCCTTGGCCTCTCTGCAGGTCTCAGAGAGATTAGAAACCAGTCAGAAATGGTCAGCAGAGGATTCTTCTAGCAGAGGGAATCCCTTGCAGGGATAAAGCCAGGGCAGCTGGATGCAGCTGGCTCCTGCTACAGCTGTGGCCAGGCTGGAGCTGGAACAGGGCTGTCCAGGAGACAAGACCCCTCACCCCCCTCAAGGGAGAGCTGAGCTAACAGCTTGTAAGCCACACTCTCACAAACACCCCCTGGGCGCACCAAGTGCTCCCCTCCTTGGCCCATTTGGCTCAGGTCACACAGCAGCACTCCACTTGGAGATGCCACAAGGAACCCAGCCCTTTACAAACAGGTGGCTCAATATTCATCTGATGTTAAAAATGCACCTCTCTGAGGGCCACAGAGCCCTGAGGAGGATGGCAAGGACTGCTAGCACTGGAATGTCACAGCTCAGCTCCTCTCCCAAAACATCTTCAATTCAAGCTAAATAAACAAGCTTTCATTGATTTATTTTTAACCTAACAGGAAGGAGCAACCTATTCCGGGAGAGCTAAGGGGACTTAACTACGGGCAAGCATAGTCATATTATGCTGTGAATTACAGGGCCAGTAATAGAGATGTGTCCAGTGAAGAGCATGATCCATAGGAGTCTTTCCAGCAGGTGCCATTAACTTCATTGGGTCTTGAATCAGGACCCACGGGCGCTATGGTCACGGGGTTAATGTGCTGCAATATGCACTGGTGTCCTATGTGCAAAACAGCTCTGGGGCTCAGAGTCCCACAGACCCAGCCGCTGCTCTGGATCACTCCTTTATGTCAACAATCAAGGGTGTGAGGTAGTTGGAGTGTCGGATCCCAAAGCTGAAGTCTGGGGCCCTGAGCTTGGTAATGGTGACGTGTTCTGCTTTGTAGTCTGCAGGTCCAGGCAGGCGCTCTCTGTAGGGCTCATATTTTTCTCTCATGCTGAAGGCAGGCTGCCGGTTCAGGTAGACATTGGGTTCAGGCCTACTGACAAAGGCTGGACCAGGGCCTGTGGCGAGGTCCTCTGCATAGCCCCCTGAGTCCAGTCTGGAGGCCATGCTGTAGCAGGGGGCAGATGACTTGACAGGGAGCTTAGGTCCCAACACTTTCACATGGTTATACCTGTTGGGAGCTGGGTTGGGGTCATACTTATAGTAACAAGTGTAGACACCCAAGGAGTAGGCTGGTGCATGAGGCTCTCCTGGCGGGTGCACGTTCTCTCTGTAGTAGGCATTTGGGGCTGGCACTCCTGATGGCTCTGGAAGACAGGAGCAGTTTGGTATTGAGGCCATTGCAATGGAATTCATCTCATCTCCTACGGAAGCTGAATGCACAAGATTGTGCCCATTATGGCTTTATGCAATAAGCTTTATGGGCTGCAGACATTACTTTAAATTTTGCTTGCCTTTAAAATGAGCTTTTGTTTAACCATGTTCCTCAGTCTGGGGACAGAGTCAGGATAGAAAAGAGGTAGGACTGACAGAGCTGTGCATAGCAGTTCAGGGCACCGGTGAAAGGGATCTGGCCAGGGATCTGTGTAGGAGATGCATTGGTAAAGCTGTCTGTAAGGAGACCGATAAAAGAAGCCATTATGTATCAGCCCAGAGAATCAATTCAACCCCTCAACTGATATAAATTGGTGCAGCTCTACTTAATTCAGTGGAGTCACCTCCTTTATTCCACCTGAGGATCTGGCCTGAAACAATCAAGAGACCATGCCTTTGTGAAGCCTAGCACAAGGCAAAACATGCTCGTGTCACCGTCAAAATGCCATCTGCAATCCTTCAGCCACAGCGTGTTGTCCCAGCACAGTAGAAACCATGCACTTTTGGCAAACCTGCTCCCACCCACACAACTCTGGCCGCTGCTTAGGTACTGCGTTCCTTTCAGCCTGGGCTTCCCCTAACAACCCAGTTACCCTGGTCATTTGCCTTATCATTGGGTTCGTGTCCTCCTGATCCCACTGCATTAGGGCTATTGTGCAGCAGCTGCCTTCTGCAATCTGATCTCATAAGTCACTGGGGATTTTGAGAATCTTAGGCTGCCATCAGTGATGTGATTCTGCTCAGAGTAAAAGTGACTGGCAAAGCTCCCATCAACTTCAACAGGAGCAGCATCCAGTTTTAAAGTCAAATATCTCCTCAGCAGTATATGTGGTTAATCAGAATGATACCAATGTGCACTTAGTCAGCTCCAAGTCACAATCCATTGAGCCCCAGCTGTGCTGATTCCTAAAGAAACCCCCAGTTTTGGCTCTGACGAGAAATGGCCCTGTGAGGAGAGCAGGAGACAGCTTCTGAGACACCCCAAGTCTGACCAAGAGGGTCCAGGCCTTGCCTTAGGACTCCAGGTAAATGTAGCCTGCCTGGGTGCAGGGGCTTTTCAGACCACAGAGCAGGCACTTAAAGTATTAACCAGTCAGCCAGCAGCCATCTCAGCATAGGCATTATTGATGCTTTTCTGATGGCTCCTAATAGATGTATCGGATTTTCTACTGAGCGGCAGCACTGCTAGCAGACAGGGCATGACTGCAACACCATTTCTCAATGTCAGGCTACTTGGGGGAGGAGGGGACAGTTAGCTCCCCACAAATCCTTTTGCTCCCAACTCTGTCTCCATGGGAAAAAGGAATGGAGCCAATATGTCAGCCTTTGGCCTCCAATACACAGCCTTTCCCATGATACCACCAAGAGCATCTCTGCAGGGTGGTAACATAGTGCCCAAGATGGCACCAGTGAGCCAAGAAATGTTCAGTCAGTGGCACAGTCCTGTGTCTGCTCTCTGGCCGGTGGCTGCAGGATCAAGGGAGGAGTAACCTTGGTCATCAGTCTCAGACTCAGCAGGGGCAGGGATTTTCTCCAAGTCATGGCTCTTCACACTTGTTCGAGTTCCCCATTCTAGTCTATAGTTACAGTGATGTGCAGTTCAGGGAAGCAGCAGGTCAGACACAAGGCAGAGGGGAACATTTCAAGTGCCTGAAGGATCCTGATGGCATGTCTGTTGCCCAGGACCCCCCATCAGTCTTCTCACTTGCCGCTCTCCTACAACACAGGCCTTGGCTGTGGATCAGGCTGTGGAGGGTTGGAGACAGTAACACAGCAGCCTTAGAGAGCTCAAGAGGAGGCACCTGCCATCTCAGACTGGGGAGCAGCCCCTGGGCCATGGAGGGTGAAATGGGGGCCTGTAACATGTGTGTTGGTGACCAAAGCCCAGTTACACGTTCACTGTGCAGCACATGCCAAGGCTTTCCTCCATCTCTACCAGCCATAGGAAAGTTTGGGTCAGGTTCCCAGTCAAACAGGGGCCCAGAAAGCATCCACAGACAGTCTTTCCTCCACAGCCTTTGCTCACACATCAGGGAGCCCAGAAAAACACAGAGTAGCCATAGAGACCAAGGAGCCAAGTCCCAAAGCCACAGAGACAGCAAGGCCACTTATGGTCCCACTGAAGTATATGGGAGCTTTGCCTCTAACTGTGATAACTGAGAGTTGGGTTCTGCACAATCTTCCCAAGTTCTTCGGCACCTGAGGGAAACCTTCTGCCTCTGCACATGGGCCCGCAGCCAGAGGGACAGCCAGAGCCAGAGCCCCAAGCACCTGCAGAGCCAAGACAGCAGCCACCAGCAGCCAGCTTCACTCAATCCATTCTCCTCCCTGCACCTCTTTTTCGGCACGTATGCAGACTCCCCAGGTAGGCAAATTCTTAGATCCTCCAATTTACCTTCCTGCCCCAGAAGTACTGAAGCAATAAACCTCCCTTGGACCATGCAATCAACCCCAACTCTAACTCCATGAGGCTCCAGTGGCTCCTTTCTGCCTGCAGGTCAGTCCCTCACCTTCACAACTGTTATCCTGAGCAGCTAATCCCATGGCTTCCCTCAAGACATGACCTAACTATGGCTGCCTCCTTTGTTCATCTTCTGGTATCTGAGGCTCCCTTTCCTCGTAAGAGGTCATCCCCTTCAGGACCTTAGTGGTAAATGAGCCTACTCACCCCAGCATGCTCCTGAACACTCAGGTCAACAGTCAGCAAGGCAGTCATCTGCTGCGGAGCTGTCCTTTCTCTCACAAAAAGATGTACATTGACCCAAAGGGCTCCCAAGCCATTCCCTGGTTACCCCCCAGCTTCTGTCTGTTTTCTCACCCCTTCCCTTGGCCTCTGAGATGATCACTTCTTTAGTGCAGAAAAGGAATCAGCAGCCTCCAAAGCTCACGACACCTGGCACTATTGCCTGCATAGTAATAGGATGAATAGCAAAGGCTTCCACAAGAGGCCTTTCAGCTCAGCACCCTCCCTCAGTGCCTGTTGGCTAATGAGGGACCATGTGCACAAATAGAGAAATGAGAGCTGCTTGGGTCTACTTGGGAATCAGCAATGCCCAGGTCTGCCATGGCTCTCATTAGTGGCATGGGCAATGCATCTCCCTTGGCACTCTAATGCTGTCCCCATTTATCTTCCCTCATTAAACTCTTCCACCACTACCAAGCCCCTTCATACTCCCCAGTAGGGAAAAATTTTATCTTTTCCTCCCTAGATGTCCTGTTTTCGGTGTGAGCATGCTTCACCAGGGAGCTTCCCCAGAAGCAGGGTCTTCACATCTCATTAACTCTTTGAGGAAGAAACCATTCGTTTCTCCTGAGGAAAACTCCACTACCCTGATAACCCTCTGTCTCATGGCTTTTCTTCCATGCTGGTTCCTAACAGCTCCAGGTCAAGCAGTGATGAACAAACTCAGAAGGATGGGGTTTTCATAGACAAGGCCTGTACTAGGGACTTGAGGACTGGATGCTGCACCTGAAGTTAAGGTGAGGAAACCTGTCTGTCCCGAGTGCTAAGTACCGGTAAATGACAGAGCTGTTTATGTGGCCTTGCATTTAATAGGCTTTCCAGACCCCCTGTCCTGACCTTTACAGGACTTGTAAGTAAGAAACACAGAAGAGATGAGTCAATGCACTTGGCAAATCAGCCCATTAGCCCTGAAAAGAATTTGCTGTTCCCCTCAGGAACAAGTGAGACAGACACAGAAAGTTGTTCAATACTTAACATGCCAGAGACTGTGAGCAAGTCAAGTAATAGGGCATACTTCACCCTCCCTTGGAAGCACAAGGGCCTTACACAGCAGGTTGGATGGGTAGATACCCTCTCCTCCCAGAGAGGGGTAGGAGATGTCCTCTCAAATGCCAGACTGAACTACACCAAGGATTACATGTCCTTAGCAGACTATGGGCGGACAAGGTTCTTTGTCTACTATGTCCTTTGACCAACACAGCTAAAACCTATACCCCTTATCAGACTATGAGTGGCTTCTGTGAGGAACAGGAGTGAACAGAGCCTGATAGAAGTCCTTGGAGCAGGTTATCAAGTCATCTAGATGGTTCAGCTCCTCCCCTGCCTGGTGGACATGGATAGAGTTCATCATGTGTACCTCATCACAGGCATGGATGAACATGAGGTCAAACAAACCAAAGGACAGTTCCTGTGCCAAGTATATCATTAAGGCTAGGGACAGACATTATACATAACCTGGTTTAAGTGATCACAAACTGATTTAAACCTGTAACAGAACAGAAGCTCGTGCACATAAACCAGTTTGAAAATGGCTCAAACAGGTGTGAAAAAAACCTGGTTGAAGGTAGTATCAGACTTAACTGATTTGGCTCAGACCAGTGTGTGCAATGTCTGTCCAAGATGCCTTGCTGGTTTAAATTAAATCAGACTCCACGAGCGTCCCAGCATGCTTTCTGGCTGGGTGGGGCTCTCTGCTCCACATAGGGCTGGCCCCTCTCCTCTGCTCCAGCAGTCTCTGCAGGCATCTCCCTGGCTTCTGCTCCCCACCTTCCCTCCCCACTCTCTGCTAAGCAGGCATTCCCGCATCCCTCACAGACACCTCTCTGCATTACCTAGCAGACCACATGCTGGCTACCTTTGAGCTGTGGCAGACAGGACAAAGGCAGAATCAACAGGTAGCTGGTAATGTCCCTCTGTTTTCTTAATGGGGTGATAAACACTGAGTTAGGGGTGATAAACATTCCCTGCTGGGCTGCTCAGGAGGATGGACCCTGCCCTAATCATAGTGTCCTGCTTGGCCTGGCCACACCCCGCTCAGCTCAGCACTATAGAAAGGAAGGGAGGGCTGCTCTAGTGCCCCACGGCTTCTAGCCTGAGCCACTGCAGGCATGTGCCTGCATTTCTTGGATGTCTGTCTGGTTACAAACTGGTTTAGCCTAGCCAGGTTAAACTATCCTGCAAAGATCGAAT